CTCTGGCCCCCCCAGCCTGGCCCTGCTGCCCCCATCACAGCTGCTGGGGCACTCACCATTTTTCTGCTCTTCTGTCAGTTGCTCTACCTGGAGGAGAAAACAGGTCTCAGGACTCAGACCCAGGCTTTGGGTGCTGTTGAGGAAACCGGCCCATTCCACAGGTGGGAAGACTAAAGCCAGCAAGAGGCGGGCCAGGCCCAGACGCAGAGCATAAGCCTCAGCCTCCCCACTGCCCCAAAGCTCTGAGGTGACCCAGCTGGCCTCAGTGAGGCTGGGCTCAGGGCCAGGGTGACAGGTGGGCAGCCCCTCCAAGGCCAAGGTGACCCTGGGTAACAATAGTAGTGACCACTCAATGCCCCTTCAGCCCCCCTGTTGAAACCCAAGCTGGGTGGCTTGAGGGACAGCTGTCCCTCAGGTTGGGACAATAAACCCAGTGTGGGGGTGGGTAAAGCCACCCACTGTAATCTGACCGGGTGGCCACTGGACTATTTTTAACGGGGGACAAAGTTAAACCTGGTGATTGTTCTGGGGATTCTGGCATGCAGTGGGTGGGGTAGTGTTATCTGGCCCCCTGGCTGCTGGTGCCTCAGGAGCCAAAATTAGTCTGAGCCCCACCAGGCCTTGTATGGGCAAGGGGTGGAGGGCTCCCCCAGCAACTCCACTCACTCCTGCAGGGTAGGCAGGGGTGCTCCTGAGCCAGCTGTAACCCTTCCCTGTCCGAGAGTGGGGCTGCACTCCTGGGGCTGAGGGAGAAGTTCCCTCGGGCACAATTGTCTGTACCAGATGGCCTTGTTTCTGGGGTGGGAACAGGTCAGCAACATGCCCAACCCAGGATGGAATAGCATCTGACACCTCTCAGTGACCCCAGAAGTCTGCAGGGACTTGGGGTGACCACTCCCAGCCTTCACCCTGGCTAATCCACTGAGCCCTGAGCCTCTGGGCACCTCGGGGCTGGGTCTGCCCTCTGCTCCCCTCTCCAGCCTCTCCTCACGCCCCTCCTTCCCTGCCTGCCTCACACCTCCAAAGCCCTTCTCCAGCTCCGGTTTCCGGCTCTGCAGCCCCTCTCACAACCCTGGCCCACCCTCCACAGTCTCTCCAGCCAGCCAAGGGGCTGGACGGGGTAGGGGTTTGTAGTGTGTAAGAAGCAGGATATGAGGGGCACAAGTGGGGGACAGGGACAGAGCCTGGGAGAAAAAAAAGAGATAGAAAGAGACTGGGAACGACAGAGGTCCAGAAACCACAAACACAAATTCAGAGGGATGTGCCCGAGAGAGTGACACAGACTGCAGACACCTGGAGACAGCCAAGTGTGGTGCCCACAGTGGCAACCTCCTCCTCCATCCACCCTGACAGCTCCACTCTACACCCTGGACCCCTCACTCCCCCTGCACCACCAAATGCCAGACCCCCCATCCCCCGGAGGGCCTGGGCTGCAAGTATGTGGGCCCTCTCCTGGGGCCCCACCACCTCCTTGGGAAGGACCTTGCCCCCAGTCTGAGCTGAGTGAGCCCCCAGTGGGCACGCCACTCCGGCCCTGCCCGAGCCCTTCCCTCACCGCAGCCTTGTAGATGTCATCCATGCTGGCGGCTTGCAGGCAGGCTGCTGGGGTTGCCTGCCGCTGCCCGGGCTTAAATAGCCCTGCCCCTCTGCATTCCCAGCCGGGCCAACCCCTGCCTGTAGCATCCTCCACCCCCTCCCCCAGCCCTGGTGATCTCAGGCTGGCCTGAGTCCCTGTGTCCTCTGCCCAGGGCAGGGAGCAGATGAAGGGCTGCAAGGACCAGGTCTCTCTCCCTGTGTTCCCCGTGGCCTCCAGGGAACTCTCTGGAAAGGTTTCTCGAATGAATGAAAACATGAGCCCAGGACAGGACAGGACCTGCAAATGCCAGACCCCTACACAGAACAGCTCAATTCCTATCCAATTAGGGAGGTGGGTGATATGACTCCCGCTTTCCAGATGAACTGACGACTGAGGCTCCCGGAGGGTGGGCCCTTCCTCAACATCCGGCCGTCTTGGCAGCCACTGCCTTAAGTGAGACCTTCCAGAGTCGGGGGCAGCAGTACGCAGGGAGAGGCTGGGAGTGTAGGGCCCTGCCAAGAGAAGCTTTGAAGGCCAAGACCAGAGTATGTTGATGTGGGACTGGTGGAGAGGGGAGTCACTGACATACCCTAGGAGAGCACTGTGAGCAGTGCTGAAGACCTGTCACCTCCCCAGGAGAGCGGTACTCGCTCTGGGCTTGGGCCGGGTGACGGCACTAAGTCAGCCATCCAACAAACACACCTATGGATGCCCATGTGTGCCAGGCCCCCTCCCTCAGCTGGGTCACCACCCCCTCTTCTAGGTCTGGCTCCTCTCCTGGGTTGGGCTCCATCTCCATGCCGGGCCTTCTTTGCCACACTGTTGTTCCTGGGTCCTGGGCCAGGCTGTCACCCCTCATTTTGAGCTCAGTAGGACACCACCCGGGGGTCTTGTGCTGGAGGGCCAGCACATGGCCCATCTCTTCCCACTCCTCCCCTTCATGCAGAGCCCCTTCTCCACAACCACACCAGCTCTCTGCCTTGCGGACACCGCATGGATTGACCTGTGACATCTCCGTGCTCTTGGAGAGGTTCTGGGCAGGCCCAGTACAGCATGCGGAACACAGAAAAAATGTCCAAACTCCGTATGGCGACAGAGTAACTACTTATCACGGTGAGCATTTCATAATGCAGATAATTATCGATTCACTTTGTTGTGGTCCTGAAACTAGTATATTGTGTGTCAACTAAACCACCAACTGGCGGGA